TGCACGCGCCGGCAGCCGCGGCCGTAGTCCGCATTATGCTCTATTATTATCATTATGGATGGAATCTGTCGCCCTGTCAGTGCTACATAAATATTCACCGTGCTTCGGGTCCCGCTTCATTCATTCAGCGAGTGTGGAAAGACGGCCTGACTGATGCGTTCCCGGGCGCTCCACTGCGCATGTGAGGCGTGGGATTAAAAAAAAAAAAAAAAAAAAAAAAAAAAAGGAAAAAAAAGAAAAAAAAAAAAAGAAAGAAGAAGAAGAAGAAAAGGGGCGGGGGGCGTGAAACATTTTCTTGAGGGTTTTGCGCTCCTGGGGTCTGGATGAAGGGCTGGGTTGTGTCTGACCCGTCCAGGAGTCCCCCGGCCTCCGTGTCGTTCCCACGCGTGTCAGCGCTGCTGTCGCACGTCCTCCCGGAGCTGCTCCGGGTGCCACCGCGCTCCGCTGTCAACCACCGCCATCGGCTGACGCCGTTTGAGGTCCCCTGCTCTCCAGGGCACAGCGCGTCCAGCCCTAGCTTTGGGTGGAGCTCTTTGGTTGTGAAAGATAGCGGTGGAAAATGCTCTCTTCTTGCTTCCCACGTGCAAATAAAGGACCAGAGCAAGCTGAAGTTTTCTCTATTTTATTTAAATAATCAATAGTAAAGGGCTGGAGTGCCACAAATGTGTTTGCATTGGTGATATACGTTTCTTATTTGACGTGGTGGTTTGTGTGGTGTTCGTTTCCTTTGATGTTTTCTTTTTTGGTGTCATGGCATAAAACACAGCTAGTTATTTTGGAGGCATACCCATGGTCCTTCCTCTGTATGATTATTTCTGCTACCTTTTAAGCAAATTAGGTGTTCACTTTGATTATATCCTCAACTTTGAGGAAAAAAATAAACAGAAATTTGGACAGTGGAGCTGTTGAGAGAGAATCTAACAGAAAACTGCCTTTGTGCCACGTGAATCTAGAGCTTCCACAGGTGCTCAGCGAAGCCCGATTAAACCAGTCACACAAATGTGTTCTTTTATATGTATTTCAAGTTGTCTTTAACCCAGCGGAGGTGGAGTAGGATCACATGAACATACCTGGTCGGGACACGGTGGTTTTGCAAGATGCATTTACCCGAATCTCCACAGCTGTGGTTAGCCCATGTGGTTAGATGTGTTTTAGCACGAAGGAGGTCACAGACTATGTGGGATACAAGAGCTCAGCTGATGGGTGCTTTAATCTATTACCACGCTAACATGGTCATTTGCAGCCACATAAACACATCTGCAGTGACCTGTGAGGAGTACACCAACATGCCTGAACATCCTGTTGCTCCACAGGCAAATATTTTAAATAAAATGTGTGCTATTTTCTGAGGAACGTAAACCCTTGAACTAAAAAAGGGGAATGAATCCAAGGGCAGTTTAATTAATGCTTGCAATGCAGGGGCAGAAAGGATAGTAGCAATAGTCGTGTTTGAGAATCAGTAACTTTTTGCATTTGCTATGTTATGAGTGTAAATAGTATTTATAGTCGTAATATAAAGGAGCTCAATTAGAGGCAAAAAGAAGTCTGGTCAGGGTAGAGAATATTTGCTAAAAATCAAATCCTTCAGCTTGATTAAAAGACTAGCCAATGACAACGATCACTAAAGCTGTCTCACATGGATGCTTCGTTTTTATTAGGAGTAAAAAGGAATAGAGATGTTGAATTACTTTGTTAGTTAGGAGGATTTAGATGGAGTGTTTTGTGACTATGTAAATATCTTTTGGAGAGGGAGAGATTGTTTCAGTTCCAGTGTGAAATGAGATATTTTAAGAAGCACTTCTCTAAATCCCCAGGTAATCAACTGCAAAAGAATTGAATCTCCAAATTCAGTAAATTGTAGCTTATCACTCCCCTTTACAATTATTTTTTCAGTGTAGACTTTATTGGAGTAATTCTGAGCCCTAACTCTTCTCTTTAGCAGCTTCCTACCTAGCATCACTTGCACATCAGAAGGTTCTCTAGGTCCTCTTCTGTTTGTGGTAGGTAATAAGAGGTCTTTCACCCAGTTACTTCAGTATAAGGAGGTGCCATTTATTTCTTGCTGTTTTTTTGTATGTCGAGTCCTAGAGCAGGACAGCTGCAGAGGGCAGGCACTTGTCCTGCACCTTTGGAACTGCTGTTCAGGCACTCACATTGCTTGCACTTAATGCATCCTGCACCTCAAATGCTTTGCACATCTGGACCCTATTTATAAGGCAGAATCATATTTCACAGTTACTTTCTGTTTCCAGAAGGACTTTTGCAGACTTCGGAATGCAGAAGCAGAAGGAATGTCATTCATGTCTGCATTTTTGTATTCCTGCTCTTATTCACAGTGGATTTTATCCATGCTTCTTTCTGGCACCAAAATAATTGTCTGTATTCTTTAAAGAAGACATATGAGGTAAAGGGAAATGAAAGAAAAACACTTTGCTTTAACAACTGTGAAAAAATTAAGGCAATTTGTAATGAGAAAGGAAGATTGAGCTGGGTTTCAAAGTTAAGTCATTCAAAACCTGTGATTTCAACTCTTGCAATTCCATCAACGTCTGTGGGAATTGTGAGTATTCAGCTGTGGTTAAGTCTCAGAAAAGTGAGTGGAAATTATTCTGCTGACTTAATAGGCTTTGGATTGCACTGTATAGATTTAACAAGAGTTTATGCATAGCTGCTTTATGGAACAGATGGCCTGGGGAAAGAGATAATTAATATTTTTAGATGAAGCCCATTTTATGCTATCCAAAAAGTGTTTCTTGCTCTATGTATCAGGAACTTATCAAACATTCTCTCTTTAAGCAACTCTATCAAAATATCCAGTAGAAAATGTGACAAGTTTGAAGGCAAAATTGGGATCCAAGCAATAAACACTGGTAGTTAAGATGCCTATTAAATAGGAATTTACCTACCACATTACAAAGCTGTTATACAGAGAAAAGTTAGCCTTGAGATTTGGCATTTTCAGTGCTGCCTCAGAATTGCAGACAACAGGGACATGGTTGTTTTTGTTTTTTTTTTCATCTGGGAAGTATTTGTTTTTGAAATGGCAAAATAATATGACTGCACAATTCCCAGGAGAAAAGATATGGGTAAAGTATCTCTGACGTCTTGGCTTTGATTCAGGGACGTCTGTGACTTCACCAACACATGAGCCTTCAAAACAAGATCTCCTGCAACCCTGTTATCATGTTGCTTGATGAGAGCGTATGTGTGTAACTGAATATGCAACCTGCTCTGCGTTTCTTAGCTAAAATGATGAAAAGCCATTTAGAAAATGTAAAAATATAGATTTCAGTACTTAACTACTGCTTGGTAATGCCAGTTCTGTGCATGTGGGAATAAGACATCTTCACATCTGAGAATTCAAAATAATGATAAATTTCCTTCTTAAATTGCGTGCATTTTTTTTAACACAGTACTGAGCTCTCTTTTGTAGAGAAAGATGTGACATAATGGTGAGGATTCAGAATTCAGGGTTTTCACCTCACTGGGGCAACCTCCTGAGCCATCTGGGGGCTGTGAGATTTGGAGCTGCGAAAATTGTGGAGGCAGGGAAACATATTTCTCTTCAGTATATAGAGAAAAAGCTTTAGATCAAAACTCTCAGCTGAGTTTCTTGATTTCTGATGCCCTTAAAGTGTTACTTGCAAATTAATTGTAATGTGCTAGCATATTGCTTGCACATGATAGTGATTTATGGTAATTGGAAACCTGATGGGGGAAAAAATCTTCTCCACTACTTAATGAACACCTGTGAACTTAGGGAATGCATGCATGAGCATCCTGAATGTTTGCCCGAGAGATTTTCCTTCCACAGCTATGGGATTTGGGCATCATTATTCAAAGATAAATTGAGAACGTTTTACAAGCAGGTACTTGGTACAAGTTCTTGGGACAACCAATGTAAATAATTGCTCAACAGTGTAAATAAGGAGCTCACAATCTGGCTGTATTTTGTTACTGATTAATACTTATTGTAATGTACTAGTCTTGTTTCAAAGGGTGAAATCAAAAGTAAGATGGGTTTCTTTTTTGGAATAAGGAAGAAATACAGTACCCTGGTACAAATGAAGCTCTGTGTGATACAGTGCTAATACATTCTTTCCAAGGCCTCAAGACATTTTACAACATTTTTAGCAGCAATTTCTGCAGTGATGACTAACCTCTGCAGAACAGAAAATTACATTTTTGGGAGGATATGAAATGATCAAGAGAGGAAGCAGCCTACAGTATCCAAAAAGCTATTGAGTTAGCAGAATTTTAATGCCACAAAATTAATATGCTGTGCAAAATAAATCAACTGGAAAAAATATATAATAAACAGGAAATACTTACTCTTGTTGTCTTTTTATGACATTGAAAACATAAACACTTCACATCTGAAGCAAGTTTATCTACATGTCAGCAGATAGAGCATGCTAGTTTCTATCCCCACATGGATTTGCTCTGCTTCCTTGGTTGATATCATTGGAAATATTGGTAGCTGATCCTGGATTCAGTGGGTGAAATTACAAGCCTAGTGTGTTAAAGAAAGGGCTATAACAAAGTTCCCTGAAATGCCTAAAGAAAAGCTTGCTGTAATCAATCAGTCCCTTGACTTCAGCCGTCTTTGAATCGGTGTTTTAGTAAGAGGAACTACCCTATGAAAAGATGAATGGCTCAGCTGACACTAAAATAATTTGTGTTTTTTTAGCACAATTGAGATTAAAGAGGAGGAAAAGGCTGTAGAAGTATTTGTGTAGTGTTTCTTGTGTAATTTTTTTCTTACACTTATGTTTTGCATGTTTTCCAGATGGGTAAAATAAATCTTGCAATCAAGTAGGAAATACAAGTTCAACTCTCTGTTATTTTAATGCATTTATTTCTTTCAAAACAGCTTTGTGTTTTTTTGCATGTTCTGTATTTCTAATGGCATTATTTAGCTGGAAATATTTGTATTTTCCTTCATTTGGTGGCATTTCTCCAAACTAAGGGTCTCATGGTTTCCCATACTAAGGTCTGACACTCTCAGTTCAGAATGGAATCTTTTCAGTGTATTGACATTTCTAATGGCATTATTTAGCTGGAAATATTTGTATTTTCCTTCATTTGGTGGCATTTCTCCAGACTAAGGGTCTCATGGTTTCCCATACCAAGGTCTGACACTCTCAGTTCAGAACGGAATCTTCTCAGTGTATTGATGTAAAAGCTGGATGCCAAATATACATTATCTCCACTGATTTCCAAAGGCAGTACTGGCATTTTGCATCCTTGGGCCTTCAAATGCTGCAGATAATATTGCTTGGCAACATGCACAATGTTGAAGATGAATATATATATAAAAATATATACATTTCATTGGAAAACTTTAAATAGCGCTAGAGAATCTTGAAAAAAAATAAAGAAGAAAAAGGTAGGAACAAGGCTTACTGAGGAAAAGCATTTTATTTAAACTTATTTAATGCACTAGAAAGCTTGCAACTTCAACATTACCTTTTTTTCTTTTGTTCTATCTGTTCTGGTAATGTAGGAATCATCTACATGCTGCAGGTCACATCTGCATTCTTAAAGATGCTTTTGGCTGTGAAAGTGCAACTGAAATAGCAAATCTGATCTTTACAGAGAAGTTTGATGCAGCCCTGGCCATTCATCTTTATAAAGGAGGCAGACTGCTGCAAGGTAATCCTTTTTCAATTTTGCAATAAAAATACCTCTTAAAAATCAAACTGAGAGAGAGGAGAATGAATACAAACAATTATTAATGGCAATAAATGCATAAACCCATTAATCTAGTTATCCTATTTGTCCACTTCAACAAATGCTAATAAACAGAGAAATTCTTTCTCTGTGGGAGCTAAATACATGTACTTTTAAAGCACATAATGCATTTGATAATTAAGTACTTCAAGTACATTAAGATAACAGTTTTACATTAACATTAAGATACATTCAGCAAATCTATTTTTTTAAGAGGACAATTGTTTGGCTAAGGTCAAATAGAAGGTCAGTTTGGCTGAGGTCAGATAGAAGACAGCAGAGATTCTAATTTAATTCTTCTGTTCAGAAATGAAACCGTTTTTTGGCGGGGGGCACGAAATAACTTAGAATTGTCATTCATGCTGGCCAAACTGTAGGAGACAGGCTGGAGCCAGACAAATAATACATTTTTCTATTGTAACTGGCCATGTAGAACAAAATTTTAGCCTTCCATTAATGACACACTTGAAGCAGTAACTTCCAAAATTGTAGACCCTGTCACAGGCTGAAATTGCCTGGGTGTGTCCATTTTTGAAATCACATTTGTATTGTCCAAGTGCGCTTGGACAAAGGAACATAATTTGATATTTCCATCAAATCTCTGTATAAGTTGTGTTATGCTAGTTCTCAGACTTCAGAAGTCTCCAGCAATTTGTGCTAGTAGGTTTTCAGAAAGTCTGAGGTATTATTGCTAGTATGCTTGTGTACCTTTTATTACAGTGGAGCTCTGGCATCCATAGAGATCCTGGAATATAGACATAATCCTGTGAGATGATCTCTGCTAACACATTTTTCTTTTATTTTTAAGGCGATATTGCTGGAAGCTCTTTTACAAAACCTGGTAGAATCTTGGTAGTCTGGAGTTTTAAACCGTGTTCTGTATGTAGTAATTAGCCACTGTGCAGTTGTTAATTGTTAGCTTAATGAGGTGTAAAACTGACCGTTTAATTGTTTTCAATGCCCAAACAATCAACACTAAACATTATTGTCTGCTCAGTTGATTAGGTTAAGGGGACAACATTTCTGGTGATTTGCCAGTTACTAAAGAAACTTGCTCAAGGAAACAGACACTGTTAGTAAGAAATCCTAAACCTTTGGCTTTTGTATTTTCCTCTTAGTTGTCCACAGGTCTTGTCCACATCAGGCTCACTGCTGTTAGCATAGAGAGGGTACCTGGCACTGTTTTTACAGCTTTATTCCTTTGCAAAATGAATTTATTCTGCTGCATCAACAGTAGGCTCGTACTCTTCTGCAGATATCAGTAGGGTAACTATCCTTCTGTTGATATTTTGAAACTTGAATGTTGTGACAAGATACTGTACACAGGTACAAATAAATCTTGATATTTTCCCAGAAATAGCATATTTTTCTTTACCACAACACTGCAGGCAGCGTGAAGTCGTCTCACTAAATAGTAGTTACAGAAGGTGGTCTTGGAATAACAATTTGTAAACGCAGATCATTTTGACGGGGATGAAAGAAGGCAAATCAATGGTTTTAGTGTGGGTCCACGTATATAACCTTATTTAATCACGGTGAAATTTTCTGGTGTTGTGTCTTCACCTGGGTTTTTAAGAGCAGTAAAATTGGCTTCAGAAATTGGAGAGGGACTTTGCCAAAAATGAACAATACTTCTTAAAAAACAAAATCATTTAATAAGGCTGTTTTGCAGGATGGTCTTAGAATGCTTGAGGGAGACTAAATGAGTGGCTGAGGCTTGATTATATGTGGCCAGACTTAAAGGTACTGCATCTCATTACCCTGTGAATACCACATAAAACATATATGCTGCTTGGTGGGTTGTTGAATATAGAAAATAACTGATTATATTTTCACTAAATGTGAACAAAGAAAAGAAAATCTCCTAGCTAGACAATAGACTGCCATGCCATGAAAGTGTATGTTACCTTTTTTTTCCAATCCCTAAACCAAAAGAAAAGAATCAGATTATTCAGTTTTCATTTTCCAACTGCCGTGTATGTATGACATGAGATCCCTCTGCCTTTTCACACTTAGTGCCTTCTTCTCACCATGACCCTGCCGTGTCGTTCCCCTTCTCATCTTAGTCATTGTTTTGCAGGTTGCAAAATACCTTTTGGAATTATTTTTGGTGGGACAGATATAAATGAAGACATCAGATGTGAAGAGAAACACCGGGTAATGGGAACAGTTCTAGCAGAAGCCAGGTAAAAGCACACGTAGAAGGATTATGAGAGGATTGTGTTTTTGTAAGGACAAAACTTTTAGAAACTTTTCCATGAATGCTTGGAATCACTGGGAGTGCCACAGGCCAAGAGACAAAGAACTTCTTGAAATCTCTGCAAACTGATTTTTGGGATTTTATGATTCAGTGGTGGAAGTAGAGCAGTTTCTTCATAAAATGAAGTCTATATGCAGTCTATTTGTTTTATGTTTCCTCTGTTTTAATAATTTCATAGCATTTGTCCATACTAGAGTTTGCAGAGGTAGCAATGAAGCTTAGTCTCTTGGGCTGAATTTTCAAGAACAGTCAAATCCCATTAAAACCTAATGAAATGTGTGCTCTTGCTAACTAATCCTGTGCTTTGTCTACTGAATCATAACTGTTTCCTCAACTAATAGAACTGTGCATGTGATGAGGGTATAAAATTCTAAGGCAGGTAAAAGGAATGAGAAGAATAATAACAATAAATTTACCTTGTGATTTGATAGTATATTGCTCTATAGAATAATCAACTTTATGGGTAGGCTTTAAAACACAGCTTTTGATAGTTTAGGTGACAGAGGACTACAGCAACGTGACTGATTTATTTAATGTGTTTGTAATGGATACAACTGTAGTATGTGAGCAAGTTATAATTTCTTAGGAAAGCTATTTTATTTGATTATTTTTGCAGAGATTTAGGTAAAGAAAAGCACATTTGAAAATCTCCAAAAATATCCATTCAGTTGTCATTTGTATAAAACTTTCCTGGCCATGCAAATGGTGTGTGTATATATATATGTATATTTTAAATAGAAAACCTTAGTTAGTGGTGGAGGTGTGATTATTCTTATTCAATCTTATTGTAGTAGTACTATTAGCTTAAACAAGCTTGGATCCCTTTTGCATGATACTGTGCAAACATGTTAGAATTGCTAGATGTTGGTCCAGGTTGCTAATATTTTAAAAACTGTTTACTAATAAATCCAGTTTTGTTGCATATAGTTCAACATATAAAATATTTTATACTGGAAGTATAACCATATTTTATAGATCAAATTCTATCTGTAACCAACAGACCAAGGTGCCCAGCAGTTTGCCTGAAATTACGATTTGTACTGTTATATCATCAAACCTGTTTTCAGAGGTCTTGCATGGCCATCTGGCATGTTGACATGTGGCTGATGGGAAAGCAGGTGACTCAGATTTGTTCTTTCTTCCTGCTTATGTGATCCTTTTTCTAGATGCATAAACAGAGGAGCAGATATTGGGGAAAAAAAACCTTAAGCATACATATCCTGTGAGGTTTTTAGCTGAATTGAGAAGTATTTTCCTTGTGTTTTAAAGTCCGGAAGAATTCCAGTGATGTGCTGTTGTAGCTATCAAATATAGCTCAAGAGCTGATCAGAAGTTGTGGTAATGTCTACAAATGAAACAAGTTTGAGCAGCATTCTCATTATTTCAACGCCCTCAGAAACCAAATTTTCTTTTGGTCCAAAATTGTGTAAGCAATTTTAACTCTCTGAAATGGCGTAAAACCGTTTTCTTCCTGTTTTGTGTTACTGATTAAAGGTAAGTGGTGAATAAGTTTATGGAGGGATACAACAAGGATTTTTTTCTGGTGGTTGTAAGATGTTCCATGAGGTCACCCAGCCTCATGTGTCTGATGACTTGAGTCAGAGGAAATGGCCACAAACTGAAACTGAAATGGCTGTCATTATTTCAACGCCCTCAGAAACCAAATTTTCTTTTGGTCCAAAATTGTGTAAGCAATTTTAACTCTCTGAAATGGCGTAAAACCGTTTTCTTCCTGTTTCGTGTTACTGATTGAAGGTAAGTGGTGAATGAGTTTATGGAGGGATACAACAAGGATTTTTTTCTGGTGGTTTTAAGATGTTCCACGAGGTCACCCAGCCTCATGTGTCTAATGACTTGAGTACTGTGAGGCTCCAGTGCAGACATCAGCCCTCTTTAAGCAAAGGGGTCCCTAAGCCTACAAGGTATGTTGTATGCGTGTGATAAAATTTAAGCATCTTGAAAGTCTTACTGAACCCAATGGTTTTGCAGTAGTGCTATATAAAATGTGGTAGGTAAACAGCTTGTGAAGACAGCATTTAATCATGCTCATTGAAAAATCATCAAGGCAGGTCCTTATGTGTGACTCGTCATTGACAAACAACTTGGGACCCCATTTCAGGATACATATTTATTTGTGTTTGTCATCAAATAATTAGTAGTTTTTCCTTATTCAACTGTGAAGGAGAAGAGTTGTATAGAGTTTTAGTTAACAGAAGAATGTTAAAGTTCAGCAGTAGAAAAAATATAGTTTTATAAAAATTAAGTTTTTTATTTCTCTTGGACTGTGTCCATTTTGATCTAGCTCTCTGTTTAAAATATAGGCTCTTTCACAAATACAGCTAATATAGCTTATACAAAACCTGTGCTTTATTCAATGATTTTTTAATGATAATTATCTTAGGAATTTGAAAGGTATTTTATTAGCTTGCATTTCTTCTAATGTCTAAAAATGCATTACTGTGCTTTATGCAGCTCGTAATATTTTCTCTGCTACAGGAAAACTAATTCAGTTTTCCAGAAGTTATACTGGATGGATCCCTTCTGCAGTATTATTACAAGTATTATTCATTGCATAGTTATTAAAAGAAACATCGATTTTTTTTTTCTTTATTGATTGCAGGGTTCTAAGCAGAAAGTTCCATAAATTGCAGATTATTTGCCTGGTACAATATACCACCAAATTCCATGAAACAAAGTATTGAACATTGTCTAGCTTTATAACGAGTGTTTCATTTTTAATCAAATTCTTCTAAATGGTAGTTGTACTCCTCTTGGGTATATTTTCTATTGAACAGTATTTTGTAGACTTAAGAACAACAGCTTTTTCTGCTTGTTAATATGATGTATTGAAAGTATAATTGCAAAAACTGGAAAGAGAGTACATGCAACTTGAGAAAACAAGAATTTTCAAAGGTTTAATAACCTTAAACCTGTCAAGTTATATATGGGGAATGCCTTGTAATAGTAATACTACAAAACAAATACCTATGTATGAAGTACATTACCAAGCAGATGTAGAAATTATAATTCAGCATTTATGTGAGTTCTAATGAATGATTGTGTCTTCAGATTATAATGTAACATTTCCAGGGCAAGGTCTATTCTGCTTGTAACTGTAATGTGTTTCACCCCTGGCCATATAGATGTCACAGCCTGGGTCATTATAGGAACCCCACTAAAGGCTAAGACAGAAATTTCACATTAATTCCATGAAAAAGGAACATGGAATCACAAATGTGGTATGGGATAGCCCGTGTTTATATTTAATCTCTGTAGAAAGGATTTGAAGATTTTGCTGAGCTAATTTTGCTCATATATGCACAAGGACATTTTGCTAAGGAGCTACATTGGCTCTCATATGAAGGTAACACTGGAACATTTAAATTCCATGAGACTGGTCATCTTCAGAAAAGCACCCGTTTGTGCTTCTAGTTAGCCTTAAAGTTCCATTTAAGGATGACATTCAAAGCACATATTTATATTTCATCGTGACTTAAAAGTCACATTAAAGCATGTTCTCAGTATATTCTCAAACCCCCCCTGAACAGGGAGTCTTTATCAACTCTGACCCCATTACAAAATCTTGTATGACTTTTAGATATTAACCATGTTATTCTTACTTGTAGCTGGACGTATCTAAAATGTTTAGAAATCAGACTTCTGTGTTTGAAGTCTCTCAGTAAAGAGACACCCCAAAATGTGAACTGTGGGTATCGATGTTGCTTTCGGTGGTCTCTGGTTTAACTCTTGGTAACTGTGGAGAGTTACTGCCTTAACACGCATGTACCACACATGTGCTTGACCTGCATTCCATTTAGCTGCAGCAATTTGCAAATAGTGGGACTTGACAGTGTCTAATAATTATAGCACGGAACTAAATAGACCTAAGCTCCCTTCCTGCCAGACTTTCTGGCTTAGAAGTTGGCTATTTTGGCTTGCAAGGATGCAGAAACAGGAAGAATTGACTCACTACTGGAGCTGCGTGGATTCATCTAGATATGCAGGGGATATTTCTGTTATTTTGGTTTTCTATTACTGTAATAAATCCTCATGTTAAACCCACAGGGATTCTCAGCAGTGAATCCAGTTACACCCCGAAGAGATATCATTTGTTTTACCAGTGTTTTCTGGTAAAACAAATAGAATGCTTGCTTTCTCTCTTTCAATCTATAACTGCTTTTATCAGCCTCTGCTTTTTGTTCTTATAAAGACTTTTTTCTGGGGTACTTCTCTGTTGTTATGTTTAATCATTTTAAGCAGATGATCCCAACCATTTTTTGTCCATTTAACTAGGTTTGCAGTGGCATTCACGATGAAAATAAAGGAACTGGCAGCAGCAGAATGGGTATGTTTACGTGATGATGGTGATGATTATAGCATTAACAACTAAGTATTTTCCTAAAATGTTTTCTAAATAGTGCTAGAAAATTGTAATAATCTTCATAATCTGTCCTTTTTTTCCCTTCAGAGAAAGCATTTCATATTTCTGTACTTCGACAGGTCAAATAGATCTGGCATTTAAAAGCTGTTTAGTATTTGAAAAGATTGTAGTGCAGTGTAGGAATTGCTTCTTTGTGGCTTTTAAAACTAATCATCGCTGTTATTACTGAGTGTCTCCTTATGCTATATGCATATATTGTTTCTTTTTGCATCATTTAATAAACCTCTTTATGTTGCCAAATTTTTTACTAAACAGCTTTACTTACAAAATGGAATTCGAAAGAATAATTTGCAAATACTTGCAAACAGAACACAATAAACTCCTTAAGGTGAAATGCAGAGCTAAAATGGAAGTTATGCTAAGTCCAATGAGATATGTAACACATAGCACTGGTGACTAGGCCTCAAGGGATGTATATATAGCACAAAATGGCACTTAATAACTTTTTTTAAAACTCATGTCTGCTGCTGAAAAGAAAATGAAACATACTTCTCTTTTTCTCCATTGAATGATATACCTGCCAACAGAATTTTCATCCAACAATATAGTGCTTAAGTGTATTTGACGATGTATTTGGAGAGAATTATTTAGCCAGCAAAGACCTGACAGTAATAATGCAAAATAAAATCCGCAGAATATACCAGTTAACTATCATTTTTCTTTTTCAGTGTTCTTTATTCTTTATTAGCAAATGCATTATCCATATGAAATACAGTTTTTTATACTGAATTTAGTTTACATGCAAAGAAATGTGTGCACATACAGAAAAAATTTGAAAGACCCTTCAACTGCAGATTCTTGATAGCCTCATTAATTAGTTTGGGATCAAGCTCTTAGAGTTAACTTTGTAGTCTCACAGCTAATAATACTTCCAGTTTTCTGCAGCTAATGATTTATTTCATTCCTTAGACGAGTCAAATAATGTTGAGGTGTTGTACAAGATGAGTGCAGTTGTTTTCTTCATTTTTCCATCTGTATTTCATGTCAGGATGGAGATCAAAGGCCACACATTTATTTTAAGCATTGAACAACATCTTTCCATACCCTAGTTCATCAAATATTAACACTTTTTACATACTATCTGGTATGAATATGAACTCTCGTGTGTGCTTTATTAAGAATTAATTCTTAAGTCAATTAAGAATTTAAATTAATAACATGTAAGCAATTGTGCTAAGATAAATGGCTGTATCTTCCAACAAATTCTTTTCTATTGCCTTGGGTAAATTATCTTTAATTATGCAATACATAATGTGGCATTTGTAATAATCTGTATTCCAGGTGAGTTGGAAATACTGTAAAGTTCTTGTGCTTATGTGTTTTATTTCAGTAGCATAATACCAGTGCATAAGAAAGAATTACCTATGGCCAGTTTTATTAGCATTCAATTTCATTTTTCCATTTTCCTCACTACCTTTTAAAATAAAGAATATAACAGAAAATTGATCTATAGAATGTGCGTTACACAATATGCCCCGTTACACAGCGCTCCTGCTCTTTTCTTCTTGATCATCAGAGCTCTGGCATGAATATATTTACTCACTGTAAAGCCGTTAAGGGTCTGGCAGAGCATTAAACCAGATGCTTAACTTTAAACTCATGTTTGAATGTTTGTAGTGCTAGAGAGCTCAGTATGTGCTTTCCTTCACTGAAGATAGAAGTAGAATTATGCCTGGTGGCTGTAGAGGCCATGCAGGTTTAGCTGCACTCTCCCCTACCTGCTTTTTTTTTTCCACTGCTGCTACTTTTAGCATCTAAATTTAAGTGGTGTCAGGCATCCCACAAATTGGAATCCTGCAGTTGACCTCCAACCTGTGATGTTCTCCGTAATTCGTGAGGAACATCCACACAAATTATTCCATAATCCAATATAAATTAACATGTTAGGTATTCATAGGTAAGAGAAGGACCAAGAACTGATGATATTATTTTTAAATGCTTTGAATAGAAAACATCTGATGACTTTGGAAAGATGTGGTTCATTCGTACACTTATGCATAACGGAATTGCCCCGGGAGGGAGCAGGATTTACCCCTGAGATAGCAAGGACTGATGCTGCAGAGAAGACTCTTCAGTTCTGTACACCATGAACCTACATTAAGCAATAGACCTAGTAGGAGTGGTTGAAAGAATGTAATTGCAACCTGAAACGCTCCAATATATGTTGAGCAAAGCTGCTGGAGACTATGTACCGTTTGAGTAATGCCCGAGTTCCTCCTTTACAGGCATTGCAAAGGGGGCTTCTAAAACATCTAGGAATTGTGTGACCAGAGAGCTTGCATAAATATTTTCAGCTCAGAGATTTTTTTGCAAGATTTGGGGGGGTTTGTTTTTGTGTTTCTTTTTTGTTTATTATTATTATTATTATTATTTGTTTGCTTTTGAAAGTGCAGAAAGATAAAAAGGATATTTCCATGCTTTAATAGAAAAATATATAATTCCACATTTGCAATTATAGAAAGTTATTGAAATAAGAGCTTACTTATTTAATCACATAAATTAAATTAGTAGCATGCTAGCAGACTTCAGGAATAACCAGGGAAGCGTAGTAGTTCCCTCTCCTACTATTACTACTTAAAAATAATTAAATAATATACTGTGCAATTTAATTTGCGAATATTCTGCAATAACTACTACTGACCAGTTTTCCTGCATAGACAAGTCTACATATATGTGACAGCAATCTTTGCAAAGGTTGGAGGTAAGTGGGGTTTGTTGCATGCCTGATATGTCTGAAAATTCTTTCACATTCACATGTACCCTGTGATTTTGAAACCAATTATAACTTTTCTGTCAAACCCAGTATTTTTAGCAACTAAGACTGTAGTAGGAAATATTTGGAAATAGTTTCTTTTTCCGTGCAATGAGCATGTTAATGATTATGAGAAATGATAAGGATATATATATATATAATTTCTGATAAACTGATAATTGTGTTATTTACAACATTGATTCACTGATATTGTAAATATTCATAGAAAATATAATTAGAATTGCTAACTTTGTTGGCTTTTGTCTTTAATAGCCTGTTTTGCTTCTTAATATCTGAAAGGAAATCATGCTGATGATCATTTTGCTATTTTAGTTTTTTTGTTGTTGTTTTAAATTGAGCAGATTTCTTGCGGTGAACTATGAAAGTCACTTTTCTTCTCTTTCTCTTTAAAGCCGGATGCTAGGAAGAAAATATATGTTCAAACTCAAGGTAAGAGTTCTGAAAGAGTGACCAAGGCATTCGATTGATTTAAATTCTGTTGCTTAGTACCTGTATGTTTGGTCTGACCTGAGCTGTATCTATTTGGAATAATTTGAATAAATCATATCGATTGTAGTGTTTCAATTATTCCAACAGATACTAAACCAAATTCTGTACCTGTAATTCCTGTTTTGGAATAATAAGCTCCCTTGCATACTATTGCCTTATATATAGATTTTTAAGATATCAAATTCAGCATGGTGTAAATGATCATAATTCCCTGAGTTCCTGAAGATGTTCATACAATGTGCAATGTGCAATACTTTTAAGTTCGTCTTCAGCCTGAATACTACAGAAATGTCCAGGCAAGTTGGATGGGGAGTTTGATATGGGAACAGTTGTGTGTGGAATTCAGTTTGCTTGACAGAAACATTGTTTTTTCAGAGTAAGACTTCAAGCATTGCAGTTTAGCCATTCAGTGACCACTAAAACATTTTTTATGTTTTGAACACAGGAATTAAGACTACGCCGAGTGAAACTTTTGACTGGTATAGTTTTCTGCAAAATGCAGGTAAAACTCACTTTTTGCCATATTCACTGCATTTATGCTTAATAATGTCATTCTGGAAAGAATTTTAGAAGATGAGAGTTAACCAGTTCTATAATAAAATGGCCTAATGTATGAAAAATATGAACATCGTTAGATTCAGGTAGAATATCAAGTTCTACGCAGAATTCTGCTCCAAAATGTTAATTAGTGTAACTATCCATGCAGCTTCCAGATTCCAGGTCTCTGCAGTAATGAATTGCAACTGTGTCCTGCACTGTGTGAATTGCACAAAAAGATAAAATGCTCTTGATATGTGGTTTAATATCCACTAGAAGGTAAGTTAGACCAAAGCAGCAATACATGACCAAGCTGTTCTTTACAGCTATGTGATAGAAACTGTGTATGTCTCTTGCAAAAGAGCACATGAGGTAAAGAAGGGAAATATGTATTGATGTTATATTGTTTGGTCTTGATCTAGAGTCTTTCTCTGTTTTTACCGAGGTAATGGCATGTAAGGCAGATGGAGTAAAGTCAGCTGATCTTAGCAATAACTTAATTGCTATAAGCCGCCTTGCTCCACAAGAAGAATTTATAGGCATTTTACTGTGGAGTAAAAAATTATTTCAATATTATATTCATTGGTTTTATCTCTGATAGTACTGCTGTTTCCTCTGTTACAAATGAACCCACACTGCTCAAATGCTTTATCACATCAGGAAATGTGTGCCATTATTCAAAACCAATGTCCAATTTTAAATAGAGCATTGTGAGGGTATTTCATTCACGGTAAATCATGGCACGTAAGCCCAGCGCCACTAAGATTAATAATTTTCTGAAGTGCAATGATTTGTCATTTGCTAGCATAGTGCTGGTGTTGATTGGATCTTGTGTCCAACCGTTTTCTGATTAAACGAACAGTCAACAGATTGAGGAGAGGGAAGCTCCCCCTGAAGTGCATTTCATCTGATGTATTAGAGACAAATTTTTACCTAATGTGTCCTAATGCAGAAGTGCAAAATAACTCAGAATGCACACAGAAAGCAAACTGCACTGTGACTCCAACATCTGTGTCTGTTAAATAATAACCTGTAAGCTGGCATAAAATTATTCAGTGCTGGATTTTATGACGGTTTGAGCTCATTTATCTTATCAGTCTTGCCTCTATTTCCCTCTCTGGTGGCAGGCTACAATTATCACTACTCTTAGTATTCCATATGGAGGCACGTTTTTGGCTCTACCTTTTGCTTGCCACAGACTAATTAGAAGTTTTCATTGAATTGCTCTTTCTGGGATTTGCAGTTTCAAAGTACTTAAAATGTTTAAAATTCTACTAAACTTGGAGCAATCAGTAGACATCTATTAAAAATTGAAGGCAGTTTTCCTCAGAAGAATGCCATTTGAACAGCATAGGCTTGCACAATGAAATGTGCTTAGATTTTATGCACATAAAGTTGTCCAGTGTGGTTCACCTCGTGGCATTTATCTTTTTATGGCATTATGACTTCTGTCATGAATTTCTATGCTATATCTAAAGGGAATTAATAATTTCTGTGAGAAATATTTCTCCAAGTAGGTCTTTCCAGTATCTTTACCTGTGCTCTTGGACTTGTCAAATTCAGGATTTTCAGGTATAACCTACAATGCAAACTGCAGTGTGTTTGAGCTGCCAGTGATAAGCATCCTTGATAATCAGGCCATGCATTGTCAAGTTTTTCTTTAGAATGAAGTAGACTTCAGAAAATTTCAAGATTCTTTCACAGAATGGACTTTATGCAAAGTCTTTTTATAGAATTTTTCAGTTATAGAAAAGCCTTAACATTTGACTTGCATTAAATATCCCACTGCTCCATGAATGGTCTCTGTAGAATGGCCTCAGAAAGAATTTGATTCTTCGAATCAGAAGAGCAGAATGTGGCAAATATGTTTTATTTTCAGAGACTCAAACACCCTTCTCCCCTTGTGCCCCCACATGTCAACAGTGCTAAAGTAAAAACTAAAGAAGCCAGGTCTCTTTTAGATTTAATTTGATACTTTGGGTGGCTAATAGATATGGTAATTGTCCAATGCAAACTGAAACAGGGCTGTGAAGAGATTGTTATTGTTGTCATGATGGGTGCAATCCAATTGCAGCACAAAAATCAGGGAATTTTTATTTTCTTCATGGACTTGGCAGCAGACTTAAGAGTTGCAGCCATCATGCAAGAATTTAGAGTTACTGTTCTTAGTTTCCAGTTGCAGTATTTCCAGTGGCTGGCTGTTAAAACATTTATTGACTGAATCTACAAAAACAGAGCCTTTAAAGTTAATTTGCATTGTAGTGGTAGTCAGATTCTAGTGTTTGCAGAGAGAGAGGCCATAAGTAATAGTAGCTTAACTAAGCCCACATTTCAACATAGAATTCAACAAAACAACTTTATCAGTTTGTTTAGTAACTCAGACTGTTTAGGAAAGCACTGCAACCTGCCAGTCTGGAGGGCAGACCAGCTGATGAAAATAATCTTCACTCACTTTGTAGTGCAGGAACCTATTTACAGCATTGTCAGTTTTGTTAGCAATTTTTGATGCCTGTCTGTGGACTTCAGAGAGACAACAAAAAGTTCAGGCTTTTCTGGAAAACTGAGGACTTCAGAGAGACAACCAGGCTTTTGTGGATAACAGTGACAGAAAAAGACTCTAAATAAATGTGGAAACTGAGCCTGACCTTCTCTAACAACTTTTCTCAAGGAAGGAATATTACTACGTAAGGACATGGAGATGGGCTTGATGTCCTTGTACCTTGATGAAAGCTTTCTTTTGATTTCAATGGATTGTGGCTGAAGTGCAGAAAATGTAAACCCGAATAAACCCTTTGTGTTTATTGTGTGATTAAAGGGAGTGGATAACTAATAGTCTGTGCAAATGAACTGCAAAACTACCCAACAGACAAGACTAGAACCTGATTTCTTGGAAGATGACATGGAATCATAGGATAAGATCCTGGCCGTACTATCAAATAAAACTTGCAATATGCTTTTAGTGTTTGATTTTTTTCTGCTGTCAAATAATTTCTGCTTTGTAGCAAAGCTAATTTCAGAGCTTGAAGAGTTTACATGACCTGTCATGGCACAAACAGGAATTTACAGAAGCATTATATTTTCTAAAGCTATTCTGGAAAAAAAAAAGGGTATGCATAAGGAAAATCAAATGTTTATTTAGACATACAGCTGCCTATAGACATAATGAGATGACAGTAGCAGCAAACTGTGTTCCTCAGCAGATCTGAAAGCAGAGACTCTTTATTATCAGGTTGCTAGAAATAATGAGATACAGCAAAAGAATGGAATACTGGACAATCTTACAGCCTAATATTTCTGTATTAGTGACCTGCCACTGGAAGTTGCAGGTTTCTCTCAAGTTTTGTTGTCTTCACAAACATGTCAGCAAACTCCAGCAAATCTTCAGTATAATGTTGACTAGGTCTGAACACTTTGGGTATAGGGATTTCTGCCCCTTCCCCTTAATTTTCGAGAAAGAGATCGCTTTGTAAAACAAACGCTCAACTTTGTCAAACACACTGGGAATATGTTTAAGATCTGAGGGTGGTTGATAATTATGTTCTGAAATGAGACCTAATTTGGCTAATAATTAGCTGAGTTCTGTGTCATTACCGACTCAATTTCAGAAATTTCAGATTCAGCATAAAGTAAGAGAGAATGTTGAAGCTGGACATTGCTGTATCAAAAAAGGATCGAATACTTGGCTTCTGTGAGAAACCTGTTTTAACTTGAAAATGAGATATAGAATTAATGTTTAAATATCTTAAACAGAAATCAGACTCTTGGTGTCAAGACACTAAAATAGTTAATGTGTGATATTTCCATTGTGTAAACAAAGAAATTAGTAAAAGAATAAGGAAAAAATGAAAGACTTATATCAAAAATATATGCCAAATTTAGACAAATTTATACATGGTTCAAGCTCAAGAAAATAAGCAGCTTGAAGGCTGAAATCTTGACAAGAAACCTGTAGATTTCTTCTTCTAGAATATCAATTAATACTTAGAAATGAGTTGGAGACAGCTAAATGAACAATTTTCAAGGGAATAAAAGATGTGCTGTTGTTCAAAATGAATAGAGGGGAAAATGAAAAATGTGCTTCACTCTCAGCATCCCTCCATAGCTTAGGCTTTGTTCCAAACAGAAGAGGATCTGGATGGGTGAGCGAGGGTGGACCTGATTGTCACCTGAAGGTTCTTAGACCGCAGGTATGAACTTGACGTCAGGGTCTAGAAAACTATTTCTAAAACTATATGTTGGACCAAGTGTTGTTAAGAACTGTTTTGACTGTAGACAGTGTTTATGATACTGGCAAATCTTTTCAGCCATTATAACATGCAAGTACCATATTGATATACTTGAGAAGCAATTTTATCCCTTAGTATAAATTGAATTAAAAGCTATAAATGAATGTACTTGTTTTAAAAACTTCTATTTTGTGGAATTGTGGAATCAGGTTCAAAAGAATAGCTTTATTGAAAAATCAGTTACCTTTTTTTTTTTTTTTCCTTCCATAGAGATTTTGAAAACATTCTACAAAAGCACAGCAAAGAGTTTAAATAAGAAAAATATTTTGTTTATTTGAACAAGCAGTGAGAAAATAGGTCATGCAAGATATTCTCAAAAGGCTACTTTACCTCCCAGCAAGCTAATGCTTGATATTACTCATTCACTTAGAGGCCTGCAGCTTTTCAACAAGATTAAAGATTTGCAGTAAACTTTTTTTTGAGCTGTAGATCCACAATTACTAAGTTTTTTTTCCTGATTGTAGCTAGAGGGATGGGGTTAAATGACTGTAGTCTTTCAAAATGTTCAGATATTTATTCTTTACTCTCTGATGGAAATAGTGTCTTTACTAAAGCTTCAGAAATGATTCTGGTTTCCATATGTTATACTTTTTTTTTCCCGTTTTCATATTATTCTGCAATGTAAGAGTTTTTATTATTATTATTATTTTTAAAAGCCCATGTATAAAGTATCATCGTGTATTTAAGGTGTTTGGTAGCCTAACACTGCTCGAGCTGGAGAAGTTCTCCTGCTGTGGGAGCCCCATGTTAGTCCGACTCTGCCTCATTTCAGCTCTCCTGCTCCTCATTTGTCACCAGCCCTGCTGTCCCGGCTGCCGTATCAGCACAGCGCCGTGTCCTGCTGATGAGAGCAATGAGTTTCCATAATCCTATCAATCACTGCTCTTCTTTTGACCTCTCACATCTTGCTAAACGGGTGAGCTGCTAAGCAGGCTGAAGCCTGATTATAGTTAATGTGCAGCTGCTTTTTACAGATAAGGCCAAAATAACAGAGCAGGCTGGGTCAGACACAAATACTGACACGGTGCATTGAAAGGAGTGACTCTTGCTGACACTAAACAAATATTTTTGACAGTGGCAGGGGAGTTGGTTAGGGTGGCGAGACCTACATAGGGTGTATAGCAGCTCTGGAGGATGGCTGGACACCTCATACCTTACTGTCTTTTTCTAATTGTCAGTGATGAGGGACAAATCTTTCAATTTTTTATTTTCCTTGCAAAGCAGATATCAGATGCATGAGCTAGAAGATGTTTCAGATCTTTGCTTTTGTAGCATCAACAGAAAAAGGGGAGTGTTTTCTCCTGCCTGTGGTTTGCATGTTGTTTGGACAAGATAGTGACCTAGCAAAAGTATTAAAAGTGCAAATTGGTTGAGTCATATTTATATATTTCTGTCTCAGAATTTGATGTGTAAATTAATCATTGCCCAGCTGCTCCGGTCTGTTCCTGAGCAGTCACAGGAGGGCTGTATCCCAGGAGCAGAGCGTGGCGGGGCTGCTCTGCTAATGCTGTTGCTCAGAAACATCTTTATATGTTTCTAGTGGATTGGATTGTGGAATATCTGGCTATAAAAAAGAATTAGGTGATGACCAAGATCTACAATATGCAATAAAATAAAGCTACCATTGATTCTCGCCTCACTAAATTGAATGGCAGAGGCAAGGCAAGTCTTTCTTTGGATAACTCTTCTCTGACAATTTTTAGCTATGCCATATGGCGTAGTCTGATTGTGCCTAATATCACGTATTACAGAGAAAAGTACAAAAAAAATCATAATAGACAAGTGGGGTTTTGTAAAGTTGCACAGAGGGAGATGATTTGCTTGGGAGAGTTAAGGCTGGTGACAATCCTTTCTGAGAAAAATATCAAATCAGGGGGCTCCTCCCATAAATAAATATTAATTGTTTCACGTGATTTCAATAGTGAAATAATTAGACACTTATTAATGACATTCTTTGAAAAGGTACCTTTGAATGCTGCAGGAATTGTAGAAAAAATCCAAACTACAAAGTAAAATTACTGTCTGTAAACCCCCTTTTCAAGTTCTCTTTTGGGCTGAGGTTTCTCTACAGGTTGCAGAGTGGCCTTTAGATCTAGAGCTGGTCTGTTAGGACCTTTCATTGTCAAAGTACTTTAAAATTCCATATCTAATAAAATGAAAAGCCCAAAAGCAATAAGATGGAAATAAAAAGGGTGTTAAGAGATAAAATGAAGCAGTTATTTCAGATATAGCTGATGTTCATGAGCGTTGTCTCAGGAATTTTTTAATTCTATGGTCTCCAGGTGAGAACGGGGAGCTCTGGTTACTCACCGCTGTCTGACTGCACTTTCAGCACTAATGTTGTTAGTTCCAGAATAGCAGAATTGACCATCAAGTGGTGAGAGTTCTTAGAGTTATGGACAGTTAAAAAGAGCAATCTGAATTTGATGACACTTTTTTGTAATTTGTTTTGAGTGACTTTGGGTCATGAATTGGAATCATTGGCTGCACTGCATAAAAACAAAGAGTATTAATGGGCCATTGCGCCAGAAGAAAGTGCTTTTTCTATCCCAATGTTTGTGTATTACAGATTACAAATTATTTCTTGGTCCAATAAACAGTAGCATATTACTTACCTTGTCTGCTGCAGCCACTCTTGACAGTTCAAACTATTTAAATTAAATCAAACTGACTCAATAATGAACTCTGTGACAGGGAATATTTAGAAATCCCTGAACTGGCTTTTAATTTTAAAAGCAATAGCACCCGAATGTCATAAATCACCATTCTTCTGATTCCTCCTCCCCCTCTGCAATAGAGCTTTGACGCAGAGCTCATATTGAGCTGTTGCCACGAGGAAGGGTATAAGGATGTTCCTGGCCTGTTTCTTCCAGGGACTGGAACAGACCCTTCAGCTAAGGCAGCACTGCTGTGTATAACACAGTGAAGTAAAGTAAGTTGGTAGCAAGTGTTTGTGACCTTAGATGATAAATTCCATGAACTCAGTGATGCTACGTAGGGCAGCTTAGTTGTCCTCAAAAACAAGGTGACAGTGCCACGCAGATTCCTTTATTACTCTTAAATCCCAGATATAGAAATTCGGATCGTGCAGCAGCTCCTGCAGCAGCATGACCCTCCTGGCAGCCCCGTCCCGGTGTGGAGACCCCACATTCCTGTGCTCCAGTCGGTGTCTGCCGACGAGGAACAGCCTGACAGAGCCGACTGACTTGCCTGGTGTTGGCTGATTTGTGTCATCTGTCCTTGCCATGAGCTGAATAAACAAGCAAAGCAAAGGAGCAGGATGCAGTATCATATGTATCATTGTATGCAGTAAATCAGACATGAACATCTCAGCTCCTTGAGTGTTTATTAAATTATGGTGGTGTTATGTGTGCTCATTCAGCACTTTGTGTGTTATTTTATCCTAAACACCCTTTGGCCAAGTTCATCACGTAGCTTCTTCAGAATTCTTCAGAATTATGTTCTGAATTAATCGTGCTGTCATAGAGCCAGTGGCACCTGCGATGTCATACATCATTTTTTTTCCTTTTTGAATATAGTCTGCAAAATAAACTTTTAGATGTGTTCTTGTTCTGTATTTGCAAATTTATGCAAGAGGTATTTTGCATATTAAAAAAATGCATGTTGAGATATTCTCCAAATTATTTTATATTTGTATATATTTCTAAAATATATATTTTATATATATTTGTAAAATCAATATGTTGCAGTTATTTAATTTTTGGTTAGCTCCCCTGCAGCAGTGCTGGCTGGCACTGCTGTTGGACATTGACTTTATCTTCTCCAAAAAAATGTTTTGGGTCAAGAGCTCTTTTTATTTCAGCCAGTGATCAACTGAGACTCAAAATACCCTTGAAACGTGTGTAGTTATGTGGATGCATATTTGTTTTTATTAAGAGTAGAGAATTGAGAAGCACACTGATTTGTGTAGTTGCCCAGGAAGTCAAAGCTGGCTTCTGGTGTCCAAGAACGTGGCTCCCGCCCATTTTTTCCCAAAATCTGCCTCTGAAAATAAACTTGTGTGTCCTGTAAAATGGTCTGTATGCTTAAGTTCTCCACTGAATTGATTTGGGAGTTGGTGTGAAAGCAAGAAAGTCTCAATATTAATCCTACTTCAGCTACTGGTTCATGCTAAGAATACTGTACTTATTCATTCCATCTGTAAAAACAGACTAATATTTCAAGAGATGTAAAGATCCTGTTAGATCTGACCACTAAAGTAGGGATTTTTTTTTGGAAAATGTCTTGTAAGTAGAGCTACTGAGAAGATGTGAGGTTTTTTTTTTCTGTTTTTTTTTTCTGTTTTTTTTTAATTAGAATGAGTTTTGATTCAAATCACAAATTTATCAGACCTTGCGTCTGCTTCTGTGCCTGCACTGGCTTTACCTTTTTTTTTTGATTTTGCTAATAAAACCACCAGTGCTGAAGTTCTAAATTTAATTGACTCTACTGAAATTATTTCCTACTGAAATCAAAGGAACAACACAGAATTTTTCAGAATCCACCCTTTAGCTGCTGTTTTTAAGTCCTGTTTTATGTGCTTATTTGTGAGATAATTAACTTGACGGTGTTTAACTTTGCTGTCTGTATTCAGATTTTTTCAATCCTTTGTTTCAGGCATTCCCACAGATGTGGACAATTTACACATTTTTCTTCTGATATGTGGACTTCGAAGAATCAAAGACCCTCTGTATTTAGTAGATGTATTTTCAGGTAGGTTCCTGCTCTTTGAATAACCTTGTATTGTCCCCGGTTGCATTTCATCCAGGTGCATTTCTTTCACTGTTTATACTTTTGGCATAAGCTGTTTTGTTCATTTCAAAAAACTTCATATTATATTTATATTTTAAAGAATAAACATGATCTGTTCCACATGTTACTGTGTCATTTCCTGCCTGCTGGGAAAAACAGAACATTAAAGTCAAAGCAGTATTTGATGCTTTTACCTGTTGGCAAAATGAATTTGCTGCTGTATACAATATTAATGGAAGAAAAAAGAAGAATTCAGCCCCTTTAAAATAAGATTTTAATTTTATTTCTCTTTGGTTGGTGCACTCATTTGCATGTATCCTAAGGTATACCATTAAAATTAAAAGCAAATCTTACCACCCATCCTTATGGCTCGGTACTGTAAGCCAGGCTGAGTTTTTGTCATAATCAGCTGGGAACTGTTTTGCCAGGATTTGACCTTGTGCCTGCAAGAGGTTCAGCTCAGAAGCTGGAAATTTAGCTTCAACTATTTCATTTATTTTTTTTTGTACATCTTCACTCCCTTCGAGTAGTTAATAATAAATGTAGTTTATTGAAAGCAAGTAAATGGTTTTGTGCTGGAGGTCTATTCTGGTATTTAGGGAATAGCAGGTTCCCTTGCATGCTTGATAAATGTAAGTATTAATTGTAATGGTTGCAGTTTTTTTCTGCATGTTCCTTCTCACAGGAAGAAAAATCCAAATCATTTTGGCATAGTGGCCAGAGCTACTGCACTCTGTAAAGCCTTGTTCTCTTGAGATGATTGAATATTAATATCTGAGCTTAGTTAAATAACCCTTGAATCATAAGAGACTGCATGAGGCAGAAATGCTAACGACTAACTTTCAGATGTGCTAATAATTTGCATTATTAGTATTCAATCCTTTAAGTGATATTACAATATTTGCCTAATACTGCCTGCTTTATTAATTCTGCTATTTACTTTTCAGTGGAAGAAGACTATTTTGTGAGCTTTTTAACTACTAGTATTTAAAATGATTAATTGTGATAAGTAAAAAACTGTTCTCCTGTTGTGTTTTAGACTGGCACAGAAAGGAACCCAGTGTCCATTTGGGCATAATTGGACCTGCAGTAAGTTGTTGCTGTAATTATTATTAGCTTGTTTACTTCTACATACTTCTGTTTACTCATATATGAGATATTTCCCTAATTCTTTCCATGTGGAACCAGGGTCAGAGAACTTCTAACTTTTATAAAATTAAAAAGATAGATGTGTTGCATAGCACCGAAAAAAAATCTTGACAACACAGGCTATAACCTTGGTCTAAATAGTGGAAAAAGCCAGGCTAGATGACTGTATCCTTTTGAAAAAGGATCAGACCCTTTCAGATGCTAAGGGAGGACTAAAAACTTCATTTTTGTGTCTGGGAAATCTGTTTGGGTCTCTCTTATCAGTCTAATCTTTGATTCAGCTTCATGTGACCCTGCAAACTCGCAGGCAATCTAATAGATGAGGATACACACAAAATAGATGAGGAAATGCACAAAATCTGAATGGGCAAATAAGAATTATTTTTCTGTTTTCTCATTCAGTTTTGTTCTTTGTAAATTTCAGGGCATATGATTTTATTTTTAAAAAAGCCATTTTTACTTTTTTACCTTTGTCTGCATTATTTCCACACTAATACACAAAATGATTTGAAAGTGAACTGGTGTGGAAGGTAAATCCCCAGCAGGTGTATCGGAGTTGTGCTTTAGAATAAGGAGATGCTCTTGCTGCCTCCAGTGTGGATTTTACATATTTTGGTTCTGTTTTATATCTGTTTTAATTTTTCATGAGCTAATGAAGTTACCAGAAATAACCCTATGGCAGTGCATAGAAGAGATCAAGGCCTGGACCTCCTTCAGACATTTAAAAACATATTTCTCTCCTAGTATTAATTTATAGTTAAAGGAGGGCCAATTAGAGAATTATTTTATGTGCTAAAATAAATTGCATGTGTTTAGCTCTATGGTGTTTAGGTCTGCTTCTCTTACCTGCTTCTCAAACCACAAAATGCCAAGAGACTCAGTGGCACTACTCAAGAAGCAAATCATATTAAAATGAATATTCATACTGTTTTCTGGTTTGTTTGTATAGATTATTGGCCCTTTCCTGCATTTTCTAGGCACAATTCTTTTAGGATTAGGCCCTCTATAGAGTAACACTTCAGCATTCATCTCCTGCTCCAATTTTCCTTTTGTCCATTTCTGTTTTAAATAATGAAGTAATTTGAAACAATAGCTAACTTTTAGCATGTCTAAAGTCCAAGAAGAGATTATTATAAAACTTTTAAAAAGTTAATTAAGACCAAAGAACTTGTGTTCAGCTGTTGGGTAACCTTTTGAAGCCCACTTTTTATGCTCCGTGTAATTCTTAACCATTCTGGTAGACAGTACAGAATATTGTTGTGTTTCTAACGACACTGTTTTTTCACTGACAGCTATTTTTCAGCTGTCCAGCTTCTTTCCTTGCCTATTGAGACAGTTTTAGTTGAATATCTGCCTCCAGAGATGGAAGGAGCTTTCAGGTCATGTATCCCATCTCCTTATAATGTATGCCTGCTACCTACTGTATGTTTTCCGGGCTAGTTTTAAAATGAAACAACTAATAGCACTCTGACCACTTTTTGGAAAAGGATTCTACATGGAAACGTACTTCAGTACTGGGAATTTATTCCTATATATAACCTTATTTTTATTTTTATTTATTTATTTTAGTTTAACTATTTGCGTATTGTAGCTTTGGGAGATTAGTTCCTAAATGTATCTCCCAGGGATCACTGTTGCTTCTCCAAGTGTTGTTACATCCATCCTGAAAACAAATTTTCATATTCAGGCCAGACTTTTTGGAGCATCTAGCAACAGATTATAGCTTAAAGGACTGGCATTTTCTTGGCTTCCACAGGAGGAGATAGGATGGAAATTAATATCTTGCACATTTTACGAGCTACAGGCCATACTTTTTTTCATCCTTCTAAAGGTAGGAAGCAAAAGCCCGTATCTCACTGCTCATTAAATCACTTGCATGTACTCTGTTCATCCAAGGGAAACACAGTATAGTTCCTCAGGAGAGGAGCTTGGCATTAAAATAGTACTTTTGGGAGAAAGCTGAAAAGGTTTTTATATAGAAATAGCAATCATAAAGTTCAATACAAAAAACTGAGGAACATTTGAATCAGCATATTGATTAGAGTATAGATTGCTATCATATCCTGTTGCCAGGATTAGGCAGTGCTTAGGGAAAGGGCATGTATTAATTCTCACTCTGTTGCTGAAAACACTCTAAAACAGTTATGTGAGCCTTTTGTTTTTGACATACTTTAGGTAGTTTTCCAGAGTACAAGAGATATTTGCTTGAATCTTTTCATTTATGAAGCCCAAGTTTCATCACAAATTATGCTTTTGTTCAAAGTACACAGTGATAGCTATAAAATCCCTTCTGACTTTTTTTTTTCCCAAAATTTTTTTAAATTGTTTAATTGCTGTTTTCTATCTTGTATTTTTTAACAAACAAATAGCACATTAGCATATGTTAACAAAACAAGCCAGGATGTCCTAAGTGCTTTCAATTGCTATGTGCTGTCATAAATTAATCTAATATATCCACTCTGCCCTAATAAAAACAAGTCCAGTGCTATTCATCATGTCTAGTTAAGGATTTCCAAATTCTGTTTATTTCTTTTAAACATGTTAAGTGAGAATAACAGACTTAGGTAAGCCTTGTGAACAAACTTGCTGGAGTTAATTGCCCATCCTAAATAATTGTTTAATCCTTCTAGCTTATTTGTAAAAGTTTGTTTGTATTAATTTTTCCAGCAAATTGACATAACGTGCATAAAAATGTATTGGACCTTCTCAGTTTACATGCAGATTGCTTCCTGTGTTAGCTAAAACCTGAACAGTCCCTTTCCTTCCTCATGCTGATTACCTCACATATAAAAGGACAATTATTTGGCACATCAGCATGTTGTTCCTCCCTTAGACAGTGAGTTGTCAGATCAGTCCTTTGAATTGCAGTAGCATTAGCAGAGCAATGGGAAACCAATCCTTCCTTCCTTTTAAGTGCATTTATAGCTAATTAGAACTTGCAGAAGAGGTGCCAGAGGACAAGAAATGAAAACTTCCTTTTGAGGATAGTCCAAAGCTACCCTAAATTAAGAGAAGCCATGGAAGCTTTATGAGTTGAGCAGTCAGTTCACATGCACTATCCTGAGCATTAACAACCCCAGGAAGAAATCTCTTCTAAGCACTGGTTGCTCACAAGAGCACTCATCCCAGAAATCAAAAGGTAGTCTACCAAATTACCAATCTCTGGTATGATTTTAAAGCTCAGTTTACTTGTGCATTTAAATATTTTAGCAAAAATGCACTAAAATTGATATGCTTTTTTTTTCTTTGCTGGTATTTCAAATGAATGCTATAGTGTTAATGTAGCACCATATACCTTTGTATATATTTCTTTCTAGGTTGATCCACTTTTTACATGTGAAGTCAAAGAAAAAGTTAAAAGGTAAGTTCTATTCCTAAATTCTAAATTCTATTCCTAAACACGTATTTGTGTTTACAGTGAACATAGCTGCACTGCCTTCTGAATGACTAACAAAGCTGTTCTGATAATTTGGCACTTGATGTTCTCAGACCAATAAAGTTTTATAAATTTAAAATCATGTAATGCATTTAAAAGTAGATCTCTCCATATTTTATGTTCAAGCATATCTGATTTAGAGTCAGGTATGATTTATACTAATTATTCTTTTGAGCTTTTTCATTCTTTCTTTTACTTTGACTTCAGCAAGATTTTGCATGCTGTTGTGACCGAGTAGGAGGACAAGATATCCCTGAGCAGCTTTTTTTCTGTCTGCAGTTTATGCACTTCCTAATTGAAGGGCATAAATTTTAGAAATCAGGGAGGTTTTTGTTCATTTTTGTCTGAGGTACGTAAGGGTGCTTGGCTAGAGGAGAACAGCCTTATTGGATTACTAACATGAGTGATATGCCTCAGAGTTAAAATCTGCACAAAGTATGTGTTTTGGCAATTCCTATTTTTGGAGTGAGAA